CACCCACACCCACATCCCACATCCCACACCCACACCCACACCCACCCACACCCACACCCCATCTTCATTGCTTTTTTCGTTTTCTTGGACATCAATTCGTCGAACATAAAAAGCGCGATGAAATCGATATTTTTTTTCTCATACATGTTATAGGGACTTCATAGAATAGAAAAAAGTTGCGCGCATATTCTTTCTTCTGTATATAATGTCATCTTAAGTGCATGAGGACATTACTCGAAGACAAAGAAAAGATGGAAACGTGTCATTTTAATTTATTTTAGTTTTTCTTTATTGTCAGCATTGTTCTTCTTCTTGAATGATCAATGATGTAGAATGCATCTTAGATGTGTTTCATACCCAATGATTCTTATGATATTTTTACTTGTTATGTCTTTTCTAATGATTAAATGGATATAGAGCAACATAATCTGCAACAGACTTCAAAATGGTAACTTGGTGTTGTGTATATGTAGTATTTTATTTTATACTTCAAATTTATTTTCCAGTTTCAACTTATATCCGATAGCCGCCTCGTTTGAATGAATGTCAGAATTGTACAAAACAAGTCCCTTATTCTTATGTTGAATTTATTTTGGAAATTATTGGTTAGCAATGATTTCATGTCCGCGGATCCATATAGCAAATATTGCCTGAACTTCTTATGTGAGTCACCTGTAGGATAGTGTCAGATTTTGATAAATCATATAAATCAACTATATTAAGATATTCTTAAAATTAGCTGCTATGTCAGACACTTGATTATTTAGATTCGAAACAACAAGGCGTACATTCACCACCCAATGTTGATCCAATTTGTTCAGCTTTATCAAACAAAAGTTTGTTATAAGAAATAAAACGAGACCTACGCAATATATTTATCTGTAGAAAATAAAATCGCAGAAAGTTAACTAATGCTAACAGATTGCGTAACGGTCTTTCGTAATTGAACAGATACACAAAGATTCTTCAAAGAAAATATTTTTGAAGTATAATCTGTATAGAATCAATGTAATTTTTCCGTCAAAAAGACAAATTTTTTTTTCACTTTCGAAAGGAACTTTTCATCAATAGATTACACAAGTATTTCGTAGTGTTATTTTGAAAAAAAAACTCTAAGTTTTTAAATTTTGAGTTTCAAGCGATGATTCTTTACTCCAACTGTTTTCTAGTAAGATGGACAGTCATTATTGAGAAGATTATTTCTCATTTTTTGCAGCCTTAGAGAAAATGTGTACAACAGATGTATCTCAGAGAATTTCTAGCTTGATGAGACGATATAAAAAAAAACATAATTTTACTAAAAAGCACCTACATTTATGAAAATTATTTAAAAAAATCATGACTTGCTTAGGAACAAGCTAGGCAAAGGTCATAGGTGCGCAGAATCTACCCTTCTAAGTAAATGTCTGTTCGAGAAAAGAGCATTGCAGAATAAAGATATATTATCTTCACCATTCTAAGCCAGATTTTACACCTGTAGGAATAGTCTACTTAGCAGAAAGCTGCAGGTTCTTTCGGACAAGAAATTGTATAGTTCGACCAAAGTTCATGATTTTCTGGATTAAAGGCAGAAAAAAATGATATTTCTGAACAGAAAATATCTATTTCAATCAATGAAGTTAAAATACATTAATTTGAACATCAATTTCATCATCCAAAATGTCATGTTTTAAAAATTTTCTAAGTATAAAAACAGACTTAAGTCACACTCAGCTTCGAATCCAAATAAAGAAGATTTGTCATTAGCCTTTAATAATCTTTAGATAGAGGGACTTCAAATCTATAGTTCAAGATATAATGTGCTCCGTTACTGTTCATTACATTTTCTTCGAAATGGCAAGGTATTACGATAAAAAGTGAGAAAACTTAGTAAAAAATTAGCAAAAATCTCTATTATTTGCGCATGTAAATACATGATTCAATTTGCTCAATGTTAGAATGTAATAAGAGAACCGATTTGTATTATATCTTGAACTATAGATTTGAAGTCCATCTATTTAAATCAAAGGTCAAAATCAAAATTTCATCTAGATAGCAGGTCATATGCATGTCTTCTTTTACATGTTTTTCAAAAATAATTAGTTTTAAAAGGATTTCCTCTTGTATAATATTGGAGAAAAAGATGTTCCCCGATCTCCTCTTTCGATTGGTGAAAACCGCAGATTTCTAGCTGTTTGCTTTCTCAAGTTATTCACAAAACCGATGAAACACGTTCTATTTTGAAATGGACATTAGTTTGTTATATTTTATCATAGTTATTTCTAATTGATCATGAACATATTGTTGTCATTCAAGAACTATAATTGTTTAAATTTATTTTTCGAAAAGAAAAAAAGAAAACAAATTCCCTTTGATAATCGTCATGTTGTGTTACAATACTCCAGTTAAACTAATTTTCAATTTAAAAAAGTATTTATTTCTTAATCTATAAATTTGGGCTATGAGCGACATTCACTAACCAAGAATTGAAAGAACTTTCATTTACCTTGAGAAAAATTGAAGCATTATAGAATCATACTAGTTAGACATTATTTATAGACTAAGACAATACTATTTTCCATGATTTTACCATAAAAAAAAGTCTCGATCCTTCGTTAATAAAACTTCTGTAAAGTATTTTCATGAAAAACATAATTCATTAATATGTAGAAGACGCACAAAATCGTGATTAAAAAGCAAACCTATAATGTTAGAGATGAATATTTCAGTAAAATTGGAACGCTCCTAAATGGCTTTATATTAACAGATATTGAACATATAGAATTGTTTGCAGATTTACACAAGCACTACATTAGTTGACATAATTACATAGAAAAATCTATCTAGATATTCAAGATCATACTATATGGATCTTGACTAATGTTCATCAGCCTAAATAGTCACAATTGTTTATCGGAATAAAAGTAATTGATCACTGTTTTCTTTTTTCTTATTCAACTATTGATAAAAAAAAACATAGTTTGATTAGTTACTTTGAATAGAATAAAAAAAAGAAAAAACGTTGATAATGTCTGTATTTATTCATCGAAACGTATTCTTACATAAATATTTGACATAAACTACATATAATTTTAATCAAAGTGAAATATATCTCAAGTGTTCACTATAATCAGCAGAACATATATTAAATATATTAAAAAGAGTTTCATTTATTTGTTATTCCTATCTATTACATATATTATTTATTGATAATAATCTTAAAAAAATAAAACAATAAAGTAAAGTACTGAGTTTATGTAAGTGATGAAATCACATAAATGTATGTCGATAGATGTCCTCTATTGTCAAGAAAAAGTATATGATGAGTAATAAATGTCGCTTTTTCTATTCTTTTCTTCCGATTATTCAGGTAACGAATGAAATGTTTGCTTTCGCAATATGACGTGGAAGATTCTGGTTTCTTAATAGATTGCGTTAGACAATATGCTTTTATATACATTCAAATATTTGAATCATTTGTTTTGTCACATATATATATAATAGAAATTTTTTACGCTTCTTTTTCTAGATTAACACATATACAAAAAAAAACCGAGATTTAAAATGATGATCTGCTACTAGATTATTTGTTTTGTTATGGAACACATTCTTTATTCATATGTAAGAATATAAAATAAAAAAATAAAAATAAAATTTAATTTCTTAATAAATGATTATTATTTACATATAGTTTAAAATAATAAGTGAAATAAATCTAAAAACAATCAATAATGAACACTGTTGAATTTGATTATGATGCATATTTTGATGGTTTAGAAAGTGTTGATAAACTTTCTAATAATACAGTATGATTTAATTAAAATATATTGTTTTTTTTTTAATTCAAAACAAAAAAAAATATTTGTTTTATTATTGATTAGACATCACCAACAACAACATCAACAGAATATGATTCAGATTATGGAATAGCACATACACCTATCATGACAAATCAATTAGATAATACAGTTATTGATTTTGATACTCTTGGTAAGCGTTTTTTTTTTTATTTATTTATTTCAAATAAATAAAAAAACAACAATAGTTAAACATAATTCCCTATTTTGTGTTATTAGATATACTTCCATTAAATATGGAAAGTCCATTATCAGATGATCCAAATGATGAATTCAATCGTTTCTCAGCTCTATTTGATGACAAAGTAAGAAATTTAAATATATATTATCATTTATTTTAATTCTAAATTAAATAATTAATTTAGAATCCATTAATATCTAATGATAATTCAACATTTGAAAATTTATTTTCTAATATTGATTTACCCATTGAACTAAATCAAGAAGCATCCCAACAAATAGTAAGTTAAATTTTGAAACAAAAAAAAAATTACGTAATTTAATTAGCCATCATCTCAATCACCAATTCTATTATCACCACCATCTGATATTCGTTCAATAAATAATTGTATAAAAGTTCAATCATATACAAATCCATCATCAAATGGAGCAAAATTTATTAAAGTTGAACCAATTAATCGAAATACAACTATAAGAATAATAAATCCAATAACAATGTCAAATTTACCAATAATAAAAATGCCATTATCAACAAATGAATCAATTATAAAAGATCAAAATCAAATAATAATTCCACCATTAAAACGACGTCGTTCTAATAGTCCAATAACAAATGAACAAATATCTGAACAACCTAAATTGACAATTGATCAACTTAAACTTCAATATGGAAATATGACTGTAAAAAATTCTTATATTTAATTTATTTTAACTGATTTTCTTTTTTTTTTTTGTTTTTAAGGAAGAAGGATTAAAAAAACATATTCGAATGATTAAAAATCGTGAATCAGCATCACTTTCACGTAAACGACGAAAAGAAGTTTGTTTTGTTTTGTATATAAATTTAAATTGATTATTATATTATTATTTTTTGAATATTTTAATTAGTTAATGGAAAATCTTGATGTTAAAGTTAAATCATTAACAGATGAAAATGAACAATTAAAGAGAGAAAATTCTAAATTATTAACTCGTATTCATACATTAGAACTCGAGGTTTGTTTTAATAATTAATTTTAAAGAAAAAAAAAAAAACAAAATAATGTTTATCTTATAGAATGAATTATTGAAAAATCATATACCATCAAGACAACGACAAAAACCTCTTATACTTATGGGAATTGTTCTACTTGTTGTTTTTAATCTATTTACAATAAAGTAAAGAATTGGGTTTTTTTTATTAAAATCTTATTTTTTTGTTGTTAAGATCCTTTTCACCTACTTCAAATAATATATCCGGTTCAATTGATATCTATAATAATCAACGATCAGTTGTTCCTAGTCGAACAATACTTAGTCATCGTTCAATTAGAGATGATTATGATTTGGATAAAAATTCAAATTATAATGATAATCCTTCATTAACACCAAATTATCCTTATATACAATGTGTAGCTTATATTAATAAAACACATTCACAAAGGTAAATTATATTATCATATGAGACATTTATAACAAATTTTGTTTTTTTTTTCTTAATGAAAATATCTTCTAATTCATATTAATTAAGAAGTTGAATTTACGAAATATATCAGATGATATTAGACATACTAATTTTAATAAATCGGTACAATGGCACGAATCCTTTTAGGATATTTGCCTATACTATAGGCATAATATGACGACAAACGGTATGAATCACTTGGGAATTTGCCCTCGTAAGAATAACAGTAGACATATTGACAGATAGAGTCAATTAACAAATAAAAAAAAAAAACAGTTTGTTTAGATAAGAGCGTCATGTTGAGTGAGATTTCTTCAAGAATTGTGTCTCTATTCGTTCGATTGTAATGGGATATTCTCATTCTAAGACAAAAGCTTGTTTTGAATATCAATATTTAGTTTTGATTGTTTAATTTTTTTGTTATTTAGAATAAATCGAGATCTCCATTCTTGGGTTCAAGATCATACTGAAAAATCTGAAAATAATGAATCATTAATAATAAGTGATTCAAAATCTATTAGTATTCCATCAAATGAAATAATTCGAAGTAAAAGTGATTCATCAATTGAACCTTTACAACATATATCTAGAAAAGTTGCACGACAAACAAAGTTTGTATTTAAATAATTAATTTTGACAACAAAATAAATCTAAGAATTTGATTTAAAAATTTAGATATCAATCAGAAAGTAAAGGTCAACTTCAACCATATAAAACTTCTGAAGTTAATTATGATGATTTTATACATTCAATTGATAGAAAAAATGATACACTTTATTTTGTATCTTTTAAACGAGTATGAACTTTTTGTTTTTTTTTCTTTATTATTTAAATAAATGAGTATTTTTTTTTAATATTAAGGATCATCTTATCCTTCCGGCTAAAGTTCAAAATCAAACACAACGACCAAAAATGTCTCTTATTTTACCAGCATCAATGGCAAATTTAAATAGTATATTTATTAATAATATTAAAATATTAAATCTAATTTTTTTTTATTAATATTTAGAATCAATAAATATTCCAAAAAATCATGTACCAATGATAAAAATTGATTGTGAAGTTGAAGATACAAAACTTGTTTTTGTTAAACATACTCATATACCAACATCATATCAATATGATTTATTTCAATATTATTCATCGACATCACCATCATCGATTTAATATTTTATTTATCATCAATAAATAACTATATTAATCATGAAAAATACTATTATGTTCAATAGAAATGTTCTGTTTCATTAATTAAGTGTATAATATATTGATTTCATTTATTTTATGTTTATATTTTTGTTTAAAAAATAACTTTCTCACTCTCTCTTTCTCTCAATTATATTTTTATTCTTGAGATAAAAATTAATTAGATAACAATATTAAGTTATTATGAAATATTTAACATGTTCAATTTTTTTTTAATTTTATTTATTTAAATACTTATCAGAGGATAAGATTTATTACTATGAACAATAATTTAAGTTCATTATCATATTGACATAGATATATCTATCTAACGAAGAAACCTCTTGAGGTGATAAAAAGCTTGTTGCACAGGGATGTAATGATTAGATAGGACATAGCTAGAAGTGATATATCCTAAATTGGTTTGGATTCAAGTTGCTTTTATCAGAAGTTATGAATTTTTCAAGTTATAAGCGTTTATATCGGTTTTATCGTTGAATGAACCTTACTCTTTTCGAACGAGAAAACATATATTAGATTGAAATTTTTATTACGTCTATTCCAAATTTTCAACTGAAACAAGTTAGTGTGTGATAGACAAAAAATTTTATGTTTTCAAGATTTTCTTTTATTAATTATCATACTCATGGTATCTGCGTTATTTGGTTCTTTGTACTTACTAATTAGGTCGATATGTAAAAAAAATTGACGGCTATTTACAAAAATTTATTTTCTAAATTGATGAGAAAAGAAGCAAACAAGTTCAAATTTTCAGGAGAAATAGTACAATAAGCCAATAGTTGTTTGAAGAATCTATTCTAATGAACTTTTTTCTAATTAAGCGGTAAAATACAGAAAAACAATAAAGTTAAGAAGAAAATTTTGAGAATTTCTTTGTCTATCACATTCTAACTTGTTTCAATTGGAAATTTCAAATAGTCAAGATCACAAATTGGAATAGACGTAATAAAAATTTCAATCTAATATGTGTTTTCTTATTCGAAAAAGATAAGATAAAACTGACATAAATGCTTATAACTTGAAAAATTCATAACTTCTGCTAAAATCAATTTTGACCCAAACCAATGTAGGATATATCACTCCTTGCTATGTCCTATTTGACCAATACATTCCTAGTCAAAAAGCTTTTTATCATATCAAGAGGTTTTCTCGTTAGATTTCACATATTTAGAAATTTCAGTAACTTATGTTATGGACACGTAGTATTTTAAATTTGTTAGTTCGGCGATGAGACCTTTCATTTGACCCGAATCTTACAATAATACTTCATAATATTATACAAACGTAAATAAATCATTGTTATACAAAGAAAATTTTGTTTCTATTTATACTATAAAAACAAAAAATTTTGAAATATTTTCTTTTAAACAACATTTCTTTTCCTGTAAAATCCATTATCTACCAACGATATGTAAAACTGACAGAAATATATTGTAATTAAAATCGTTTAAATTTTTGTTAAAGTTACTGAGAAACTTGTATATAGATACATTTCAATTTGTTCTCGGATTATTTTATTTCAAGTTTTGAAATTTTCATCTAAGAATAAATGTGAACAGATTTCGAATTAAATATTCATATTGAAAATAGAAAACATTTTCAATAGATAGGGCAAGTATAGGAATTTTTCAGTTAACAAATAGAAGAAAAAAAAAGCAACTTTCGTATAAATATTAATCAAATGGAAATAATACATATGTAATATTTAAATCGATTCTGTTGTGTTCTTTTTATTAAATTTCACATATAATTATTCATAGATCTTTGAATAAAATAATACGAAGTATTCATCTTTATCTAAACAGATTTTTATTTTTGATAAAAATTCTTTATTACTCAAAATTTCTTTCTAAAAGAAAAATAAAACATTATTAAAGACAGTGTTCTATCTCATTTGTAAAATAATCGTTTTTTTTTCAGTAAACGAACGGTACAAAAAAAAAACAACCGTCTAAATCCATGATAAATGAGTGGATTAGGCACTTAAAAAGCAATCATATTCGAACTATATTTTAAATCGTATTAATTATAGATTCTTCGAACAATTATTTTAAATAAAAT